GCTGTGCTGTGAGACACAGGGCAAGAAGGTGCACAGGTGGGGGTGGTGGAGCTCTCCTGTCCTCTGCTCCTGCTTGTTTTGGTTCACGACTAGCTTCCTCCACGTTGACCCCACTCAGGGGTGAGCAGGGTGGGCTGTGTGCATGTCTGGTGGTGCGAATCCCACGTGGAAATGGCCCAGCAGCCTGAGGCGCCCAATAAATCCACCTGCCCTCGGTGCTGCTGGGCGAACAGAGCACATTTCAACCCCAATGAGGCCAGCTAGAGCCTGGCTGTCACGGGTGGCCATGCTGGGGAGCTGGCCTCCGAGCAAGGCGGGAGCAGAGGGGCAGGTGCAGAGCAGGCGGCGGGTGCAGCCGGTTTGGCACAGCACCCCGGGGCTGCTTGTGGGCTTAGCTCTGCAGGGGGCTGCGGGGTGCTGCCGATGGGTGCCTCTTGGCATCAGCAGCGGGTTTCGCTGGGGGCTGCTGCTTGTGCCGCATTGATCAGATGCGTCCGGTGCTCTGGCAGTGAAGGGAAGCAGAAGGCCGACAGTGACGCTGTGAGAGCGGGGAGGAAGCTCTGGCCGCAGGAGGGGATTTCCAGAACATTGCGATCTGCTGCCTATGCAAATCAGGAACTCAAATTAACCTGGCAGGATGGGAAGGCTCTGGGATGGAGGGCAAGGGAGAGGCAGGGGAGGGAGCCTGGGAGAGTGGGCTGCTGGGAGGGGGAAGGAGGGAGCATGGAAGGGATCGGGGTAGGCGAAGGGTCAGCAGAGGGATGGAGAGGGGAGCAATCTCGCTCCCCTAGACCTACCGCAGCACCCTGCCTTCACGGGGGATCAGAGTCACACCGTGGCTTTCCAGGGATGCCGGACTGCTTTCACTTTGCTTGGTTTACCCTCTTGCTGAATGAGAGCTCCCTTCTCCCTCTGCCTCTGACGTGTGAGGCAAGGCTCAGTGTCACCCGCTTCGCAGGAGGAGATCACCACTTTCTACCTTCCTCCACAGCCTCGCCATCCTCTGCCTCCCTCCTCCACAGTCAGCAGGCGATGGCTTATGGCAGATATACCAAGAGCTGTGGGAACTGGGTCCGGGAATGCTCAAAGGATTTCCTTGCGTGCTTTAAGCTTTGAATTATTCAGAGTCCAAATTTGCAAGATCAACAACAAGCACAGAGGGGATTTGCCCCTCTTCCTCTCTCCCCAGGCCATGTCTCATCCAGCCATCATGTCCTGGAAAGCTGACTCCAGGGATGACAATATGGGGAGAGCAGCCCTGGCGAGCTCAGCCATTTCCCTAGCCTCAGCTCACTGTGGGGAACAGGCTGCCCAGTGAGCGGCACATGGATGTGAGGGGCAAGGCTGCTTCTTCCTCCTTTGGCTTGGGAAGAGGAAGAGCTGAAGAAGAAATCTCTGCTGGCTCCCAAGTTTCAAGGTTGTGTTTCTCCCCTCCGGGGGAAGGGGAGGACGGTGGGTGGGATGGAAGTGGCTCGCTGATGTTGCAGCGTTGGGCCAAGGACCGAGACCAACGTCCTGTGTGTCTCTGCACCAGACACGGCTCCTCCCAGGGTCTGGTGGTAAAGAGGATCTGCAGTGGCCCCCAGAGCTGACTCAGAGGGAGAGGTCCGTCCCTCTGCACACCAAACGCGGGCTCGTGGGGTTTTTTTGGATGTTGCAACCTGTGCAATCTGGCGTTGGCTTTGCCTGGAAGTGAGTCCTTGCCCCCAGCATTGCTGGTCAATGTGCAGAACAGCCGTGCACCAGGTGCTGGTGTGTAAATCCCAGACCCCGGCAGCAGCTTCTCTGCGGCAGCCCTGAAGGCTGAAGCGTGGGTGGCCAGCATAGACCTGCCTCCAGCCCTTACTCTGCTCACAGCCTTTCTAATTCTTCCCCTTTTTTGTGCCCATTGTTTTGTCCTCCCGTTTCCTTTCCTTGCTTTCCTTGAACCGCTTGCCTTCTTGATCACAGAGGCAAGGCGTGAGATCTGCCACCGATTGCCCTCGGGTTGGGCTGGTTGGAGCCAGTGGATGGAGTGTAGGTGTTCCTGGAGAGCGGTGCTATGAAGTGCATTTTCTGTAGAGACCGGGATGCTATAGGGATGAAGCTGCTTTGTCTGAAGGTTCTATGACCTGCCCACGTATAGAGGGTTTCATGGGCAGGACAGTCCTCACTTAGGGAATTTTTATTTAATTTATTGTCACTTAACACAAATTGCTATTAAACAAAGGGCATTAAACCAAACAGGTGTTATTCCTTCCCCAGGCTTGGCTTAGGCCAAACATATTCTTTCCCCTTCCTAGACTCAGTGTTCCTTGTTTCACCGCAGGTTACACTTCCTCTGTCCCAAATCCTTTGGCAAGGTGACAGGTCGTGTATAACCATCTGGCCACCGCTTCTCTGTGCTTCTTACTGGGTTTCTTCCACTCCTCTGTGCTTCTCCGTGTCCCAGGGTCCACAGCATGTCTTGGTGCTGCTTATCCCAGGCTCCTCTTGGTTTGCTTGGAGTCCTTCCAAAGCAACACCTCTGCCCAGCGCCTCCTCCTTCCTCCTGGCTGCTTTTAACCAGAGCATCTCATTTCTCTGGGCCTGGTGCAGAGTCCTCAGGCTCTCCAGCATGGGAAGGCAGCAGGAGTTTAATTCGGTTGGCAGTGGGAGATGCATTTACTGCGATGCATGACACCAAACAGGAGCGGGTCTCCAAACAGGAGCTGGCTGCAAATTCATCAACCTCTGCAAGAAAGCATCGGGGTGAGAAATGGGGAGAAAATGCCCCAGGTGCAGAGTGCATCCCAGAGGCCATGGTTCTGCTTCCCAAGATGCTGTCACCCTCCTGGCGTTGCCCTTAGGGTGGGCAGCTCTGCTGAGCTCAGTCCAGTTTGCGGTTCTCCCTCGTAGGGCAGCCCACCATGAGCAGCCCCAGGTGTGCTGCCAACCCCAGCAGCACAGGGCAGGATGCTGAAATATCCTTAAATAGGATATTGTGCTTAAATAGGATATTGTGTGTGCTTAAGTCTTTGCAGCGATTAAAATGCCGCTGGCTGTTTTCTGCTCTAGCTGTAGCAACTGCTGCTGGAGACGGATTACTATGGAGCTGGGGCAAGATGAAGGCTTTTTGGCAGTAGGACTTTCCAAGAGAGGGAGTTGCTCTGAGGAGGAAATCCCATCTCGCTCTCCCTCCCTATCCCCAAACACTGTGTAACTCTAGTATCTTGCCCTCATTGTAGGAGCAGCCGGCAGTAGGTGCCAGGGAAATTCCCGGCCTTGGGGCCGGTGCGCTGGGGTCAGTTGGGCTTCCTGGCGGCAGCATCAGCCCGAGCCGGGCTGGGGACCGGCCCCGAGGGGCTTCTTGGTCTCATCCGTGGTCCTGTGCCACTCTGAGGCAGCTGGGCTGTGGGTGACGGAGTCACCGGTCACAGGCTTATAGCAATCGTGGTACGGCCAGAAATTTCACTGGAGAGTTTATGCCTGTGCCCAGGGAATACACCCCCCTGTACGCACCCCAGGAGCTTGCCTTTTGGCAACAAGAAGGAGGCAGGATGATAGTGCATATGTTGTGGCCCTGTGCTAATGCCGAGCAGATTTCACCCCCTGCTCTCGAGGAGCAGAGCTCCACTGCCCCAAATCTGTCTCTCCCAGGGATGCCGGGCTGTCTCCTGAGCTCCAAAACTTCCTTGGACATTGCAGTCAGGTCCCTGAGAGCACTGTTCCCAGCTGCAGGGACGCGGCCAGCTCTGCTCCCCACAGTCGCTGTGCCATGCCCAGCTCTCCGGCAGCCTCATGCCTCTGCTGCAAAGCTGAGAGCTGCAGTGCTGAGCCACAGGAAGAGATGGGCGGATGGAGATCGGGGTTATACCCTCCCTTCAAAACATCTTCTGCATCTGCTCAAAGCCTTCACAGCAGGGTTCCAGCCAAGCACCCATGAGCTGCTGTGGGCGTGGGGTGGGCTCAGCCCACCCAGGTGCCACCAGGACTGGGATGCCCATTCCTCATTACACACAGGAGCTCAAATCTCTATGGGAGGGAGTGAAAAAGCTTCAGCCAGGCCCTTTTCCCCTGCGAAAGGTGATTTTGTTACAAGGGGATGTTTTACAGGAAGGCATCAAGGGAATTTTCAGTGGAATAACAACCAGCTGAGTCGTTTCAGCTTCCCTGGTTTGTCTCTACATGTTGCTGCTTCTCGACCTCAGCTGGTTTTGAAGTGTTATAATAATATTGTGTTATTATTCCTAACGCTGCTTTGATATTTTGAAGGTGAAGCTTTCCTCACCCGGCTGTTCTGAGGAAGACTTGGGTACTCAAGACTTTTTGTTCCGACTTGGAAACAATTGAAAGTGCTGGAATTTCCCACTTTTGGAAATTCCAGTTCTTTTCTCCTGGGTGCTGGGGGAAAGCGCAAACATAAACTGTTTGGGGGGTGTAGCCTCTATGGCATGTGTCTTTCAACTGCTTCTTCAGCAGCTTGAAAGCACAGGAAACTGCATGCGAGGACGGGTGGATGCCATCAAGTCCGATTTGTATCTCTCTTTTACAAAAGCATCATGCACACAACGGCACGAACGCTGCTAGGGGTTTTCAGAGGCATGAAGTGAAGCTCTCAGTGAAATTCCTGCACTGCTGCCAGCCCCAGATGCATTTCCAGCCCCTTTCTCAGCAGCTGGGGACCCTGCGGTGCTGCTCAGAGGGGCTTCAAGGGGCTC